CTGTCTCCTGCCATTGGAACTCATCTTGATTGCTGAAGGAGTTACTTTTTATATCATATTGGATCCTATCGAAGATATCTTTTCCCAGCTCAGTTCTTTGGTGATACCTTTCACATTTATCTCTGTCAACTTCATGGGCTTTGTCGTGGCTCTCTCTGGCATATCAGCTGCTTGGAGATCCAAAGGTATCTCCTTCCAGGTCAGTTTTCAATATTATTGTTATGAACTCATAATGCCAAGTTATGATGACATTGCAAGAGCAAAATCTAAATCAAATTCAAGTAAAAGCCAAGTAGCCTGCAATTTAATTAGAAGGAAAAAAAAGAACACCCAAGTTAAAAATATTTAATTTCTCTGGATAGGAAAGAAGGTGGTGCCACTTGTGGATGGAAGTGCTCCTCATATACTCCTTGATAGTGCTCTGTGTGGAGATAATAGGTCTTGCCATGGCATTGTGGTATGTCTCATCAATATCATCAATAGTGCTTGGCAAACTCTCTTTCGCCCTCAAAGAGTACAAGGAAGACATCCGACTCAAAGCTCAAATGGACTATGTTCAGTCTGCATACCTGTGTTGTGGAATACACTTACCCCAAGATTGGCTATATGTTGACTGGAAGACCCCATCATTTGGGTTTGCATTGATTTGATTTTGTATTATTGAGCTATAGATGGTCATCAATTACTGAAAAGTACAAGTACCTATCTCTGCAGAGAAGGGATGGAGATTCAAGTCCCCTTTAGTTGCTGCTCACCCTTTGCCCTGAAACCATGCATCACACATAACTTTACAGTGAGCTGTGGGATTCATTCTTAGTGCTTTTTTTTTTTATAAATTCAATTTTGGCCTTCATCCCCTCCAATAACATTTTAAAAATGTTTGAATTGTGCTGAAGGGTTATTTCATGGGTATATTGTAGAACAATCAAGATATTTCTATGAAGGGATGCCTCACAACAGTCATGGAATCATGGCTTGGAATCACATACATCAGCTTGCCTCTTCTCCTCCTCGCTTTCTTCTTCCAGGTAATCAACACTCCTGAACTCATCACACATTGGAATATATTGAATATATTCTGTTTGGATGATTATGAGGGTGATGCCTTTAATTTTAATAGCTACAAGGTAGATAGCAGGTTATTCAGATTACATATGTTATGTGGCACTGGCCAGGTAACCAGTATTTTTAATGGTAGACCTGAGTTTTCCTTTTAGTGAAAAATGAAATAGGATCAAAAATTTTCAAGAGATGTCTGTTTTTCATTTCTTGTTATGTTTGAAGGATGAGAAAGTTCAGTTCCTCACAATAGAATATATGACATTTTATGCAAAGCATGTTTGAAATGAGGGGGATAAAAATATCAGTTACCATTGCTGAATACTAGAAGCATCATACTCAGTCACCTGGTTCTGGCAAAATTTCACTGATTCCATCTCCACTTCAGTAATTATCTTATGTCTCTGCCAAGATCAAAGGATCACTGATCTTGATGGTGAATGTGACACCATATATTGCATGGCTAATTCCAGGTAAATTTAATATCCCTTTATTTAGGTTGTATCTCTGGTTGTTCTTCGCATTCTCCAAACATCCATTTATACAGCTGTGCAGAGAGGAAATCCAACTGGTGACTCCATAGCCTTTTTCCTGATGTTTAGACCTGGAGCTTGGACTAGAGGTTGCAAATGTTTGCCAGGTAGGTATCAGTTCTGATTTCAATGATTCTCAACTTGTCATTGCCCAGTCTAAAATTCCAGCTGGAACCACTTACATACACCACACAAATGCCACTTAAAAACAAGCAGACTTTAAGCTGGTCCCATCTGGAAAAGGGAACACTGATCCAGCTGGTATAAGGATGGAATTATAAGGTGGATCCAACTGGTATAAATTATACAGGGTGAGTCAAAAGTCCTGCCCACCTTTCAAACATTAATAAGTTCTCAATGCTTGATCTCATGGAGATGCAGTTTTCACCATTCAAAAGGCAAGACAATTCCATATATGAGGAAGGATTTTTGCATTATTTTTCCAATGGAAATGAATTCCTGTTCTTGGGTCATACAAATGCATTGGCACCTAAAACATGTGTGCAGCATTGTGTCTAATTTTCTGCTTGACTGTCAGAGGGTGTCCAGATTGAGGAATGTCTGCAAAGTTTTCTGTCCTGTCAAAATTTGAGTTGATATGGGCAAACAACTTGTGGCTGACAGTTTCTCCAATGAATTTCTCCCTGAATCATCTAGTGGTTTCCATCACATTTGAAGTAAAATTGACATTTTGCAACTTGCTTACATTGGTCAATTGTTTGGGCCATTTCCTCAATCTTCCATGAATTGGAATTGATCACAGCCAAGGCACAATAACTTTCACACTCGAACAAACAATTGGATGTGGTGCCGTAAGGCGTTTTCATATGCCAATGCCTTTGTATAACCCCCAGAATGGGAATTTAATTTTCGAATTATACCATTAGCAAATTAATGTGAAAATCCTTCATTTGAAAATGAATTGTATAGTCTTTCGAATGGTGAAAACAGCATCTCATTGAGATCAAGTGCTGAGAAGTTATTCACATTCAAAGGGTGGGCAGGACTTTTGACTCACCCTGTATATTGGGTGGTTACTTTGTTAAGCTGTATCTGTTTCCACCAAGGCATTTGCAACCAATCTTTTTCCAGATCAAAATTCCACCTAAAAGGTTGCAGCTACATGAGATCAGGAAGTTAATGGACTATGTGTTGTGTGGCTGAACCAAAAAAGGTACCAGAGTGCAATTTGGCATACTTTGTCAGTAGCTTATCTGAGGTTGTTGTGCCATGTTTGGGTGGCATAACTCCAGGCAATATGGAGAGCACTGTCAATGGGTATTAGGGCTGTACTGATGTATCAGCTGCCAGTGTGGCACCATTGGCCATTAGCAGGGTTGTAAGCTGTTGATGCCAGTGCCCAAAGTGACAGCAAATTGTGAAAAATAATGTGAGCATGTGAACACAGCTAGGCGCCAGCCCTCACATCTCACAGAATGCCACTCCTGCTGGCCTCTCACAGGCAGAAATATCAATCAGATAATATTTCAGTTCCAGTATAGGACTTGGCAGAGGAAATTAGCAGTAAAGAACGGGAAATCATTGCACCTGATTTCATGTTAAGCTCTTGCGAAAGATGTGTCATTAAATACCCAGCAAAAAGTTCCATCTAGAAACAGCAAGCTTTCCATCAGTAAATGTGTGCTACTTCCAGCAGGAACTGCAGCATTTCCAACCAGAACTAGTTGTAAATTGGTATGCCGTTTCCAGCTGGAATGAACCAACAGGATCCAGCTGGATCCCATGCTATTTTCTGCTGGATTTCTGCTTTTCCTGTCGGAAAATGCCTACCTTCTAATTCTCGATTGGAACCAGTTATGATTCCTGCACACAATCCACCTGCCAGAAAAGTCCATCACCAGGTAAAACCAGTAATATTTCCAGCCTAAACTTTTTGCCAGGTACCCTTAAAGGCCAGCACTATGTAACAAAGTAACTACTTACCAACACATAGACAGACCTAAAAGTAATCTCTATTGTTTTAAGGAGGCCATAGATAAGTATCACAGGGCTGTCAAATAGGCCTTTTTGGATTATTATGCAATTTTATGTTTTCTCATTCCACAGACAATTGACACTGGCACCAGCCAATGGTTATGAGAGTGAAATTGGCCATTGGTCCACTGACCAAATGCACATTTTTATTGCAGTGGAACCAAGTATGCTGTTTGAAGTGAAGCAACTTTGCTTTATTGAAATTTTAGTTCAACAAGGAAGACCTAGGACCTGTTTTAATGGGATATGATTGCTTCTCTCAAGTGGTCAGTGACAATCTGATCTATGTTTTGGAAGATTGTCAGTATCTTCAATGAAAATGTTACAACCATTTGTGCATTGCTGGAAGAAAAATTGTTTACTAAAATTTAATCAGGTTGTTAAATCAGAGGGCAGTAGACTGACACTTCATCAGATAGATGAACCTTGTGGGTCTTTGAACTTCAGCAGAGCACAAATGGTCACAATTTCTTCTCCTGTAGCTGATACTGACACCATCTAAGGGTCATCATGATGAAATTGCCCCTAGCCTCCTTTGAAACACTTGGAATCTGCTGACTGTGGCAACGTTTCCAAGGCTAATGCAAAATTCAATTGCACATCATTCCCACAGCTTGAGTGGCACATTCCTTTCCACTGCTATCAACATGTCTATATTTGCTATGACAATTTCCTACATATTATCTGGAGGTATGCTACTCAAACATGACAAAACAACCAGAGATAGGCTCCTGAAAAAGTACACCCACTTACATGTTTTTACCTTTAATGAATAAGCCACATGGCATTCAGACCCAAACGTTTTCATATCCCCATGTATATTTAAGACTGTAAACTCAATTAGATTTAAAAATATATATATATATATCAAAATTATTCAGTTTTCATTTGAATCCACTGTCTGTACTGGCAAGCAAAAGTACCACAATGCATTTTCTTCCCACTCCATGCAAGTCAGGACAGTTTCCAGGAGAAACTTGTTCAATTAAATTCATGATTTAATTAAAGAAAGCATTTCAGCTATGATAAATACTGTATGTAGCTTATTCATATACAAAGATGGAGAACATCAGACTGACACCAAAAATTGATGGATGTACAAGTCAGGTATTATTGGAAGAGAAGGACTGGGTGAAAAAGATATATGGAACCAATATATTGGATTTTCAACTGCTTGTAGTTTTTTTTTTCCTGATGTGTCAATATCATCCATAACTTTATTTTCCAATTATTTCCATGTGTGTGCAGAATGCTTATTTGCCACAGATTGCATAGAATGCAAGAAAGACCTGCGGTTTATCCTGGGGAAAGAAACAATGGCATTGGAACAGTTTCGTGATGATTCAATGCTACATTTGCTGAAGAGAAAAGATTGACAAGTGTAAGTCTCTCCAGTGAAATTCTTCTCAGCAGTATTTGGATGATCCCTTTATTTTTCCCTTTGTATGCATACAGAAATCCCCTGCATATGTAATACATCTTCTGAATGTCACCAATGGTTAGTTTGTGTTTAGCTGACCATATATATCAGAAACATAGCATTCCACGTGGAGCTGCACATTTTTTATGCAAAAATAGAAGTTGACAAAGTATCATTAGACCACAGCTTAGTATGAGCTGAAAGCCCGCAGAACTATAGTTAAATGAAAAAATATATCATGGAAGAGTTGGCCTGGAGTGGCCAGTAATATCACTGGAAACCTCCATTTTGTTCATTGCAATTGGAATTAAATATATCTGGCAGTTCCAATAGTTCCACTGGATTTGGCAGTTTAAGCACCAAACTGAGAGAAGTTCATATAAAAATGATTAGTGCAATACTGTCAGTGCAGCAATCAAGGGGTGTACCAAAGAATTCTTGGGAGGAGGGGGGGGAGAGGAGGAATGGACTGTTGGAAAAAATCTGCTCTTGCCCATTCTTCCATTTCCAACAGTGCTGAATGGTGGGTCACCCACCTGATATACCCAGAATGAGGCCCTGAGCTAATGCCCCCAAGGTACAGGAGTGCTTTTATTTTTTTATCTGAGGCAAAATGGTTCTTTGGCATCAGTGGGTGGTCACTCATCACTGCAGAAAGCTGAACTCCTTATAGCAAGAACAAGTTTTGTCCCAACACCCTGTCTCTGCAATGAGAAGACCACTCAGTCACTGTCATTCCTGTCATGAAGTGTAGTGAGATCCCATATTCACCCTGTCTGTGACTTTCACAACCTCCACGAAGCTCATTATCCCAACTTGAAAGCAAAAAAATTCAGATGATGTAGGGTATCACAGCATTTCGATTCCTTGGGTAGTCTTCAAACTTCTCCAAGTAGAACCTTGAAAATAAGTTAGAAAATTTTAATAAAAAGTAAAGTTGCAGAAATGCTGAAAAGGGCCTTTTGTTGGAAAGAGGACTCACTTGTGATGCTGAACACCACGGGGAATGAGGAAGCAGGAAGTGAACAATGCAAATGCTACAGCTGGGAGGCTGCCTGAAGCAAGAGCAAAACCCCACCATTCTACAATTTCTCCAAAGTAGTTGCCAGCTGAGACATAATCGAAAGCTCCTCCCCTTGGGATTCGGTAACCAGTATCTCCAGGGACTCGCAGCCTTCTAAGGAGGTGGTCTGAATGAATGTTGATGGATATTCCAGCAATGAACAATGCCAGTCCTATGGGGAAGAAAGAAACTATAGTATCTATGATTCATAACTGAAGATGTCTCAAAAAACAGCAAGAAATTATCTTATTACCAAAAATAAACCTCAAACAAATGAGGTCAGTAACATGATATACTGCTTCTTCCACCAAATAAAATCCTTGTAGGTAGCCATTGAAGAGACAGAAGCCCAGAGCACTCAGTACAATAAAAAAGGGAGAATCTTTGCTCTTCTTCATCAGATATGGATAGATGAAAGATCTGAAAATAAAGTAATTTGAATGGAGAAGCTTTTTTTTTGGAAGGGGGAGGGGGGAGGAACATCTCAGGATGGTTATTACCTTTGAAAATAATGCGAAGTAAACATGAGCAGAAGGATTTTGTTTCCGAAAGGCACATGGCTTCTCTTGCTAATGAAGAGGAGAATCCATGGAGTGAAGAAAGAAGGGCTCTCTTGAATGAACCAGGCCAACTTGGCATTAATTCCAAAACCATAGCCAGATGATGCATAGCGTCCATATGGTGCTTTCATTATGGCTTGGATCAACAGTGTCACAAACCCATAGATGATGAGGATTCGTGCAAGTAATTCAACTCTCTCCTCTGCTGACTCCCATCTTGACATGATCTCTGCTAACATTCTGTCAACTTTATATGCTTGCACACCTTTGCTTGATATCCTCAGACTAATAAATTAAAAACTTTCGATAATAGCCCAAGGTTTGCGTTTTCGATATGGGAGTGCTTTATCTGCAAAACCTTAATCTTGTCAATTCCTATTATAGCCAAAGGAGAGAAGCTAAGGCAATTAGGCCTAAATCAAGATCAATGGTGATATCTAACCTATCAAGTCTATTCATAGCCGAGCATATAATTAGCAAACGTTCTGCCTCTCGTATCATGCTACATTTGAATTTGAATGCATGCGCTTTTGACAAATCGACGATCCCCATACATAGCTTAACTTAACATTAGGCTTAACGTATTCAATAAGTCAGCATCGAAAATCTCTACATCAAGGGGAAAGACTTTAAGTCTAATACTCCAGTGGTGCCTAACATTCGGGTATGAATTGAAAAATTACCGATGAATGCGGACTATCATAAGAAAGGACCATGAGGCAGACATGCGGCCTGTCTGCGGCCCACATGAATTGCCATCTCTTGGGGAAACTCAGAACTTCCGGGGAGGGGGAGGAACAACTGATTTTTGAAGAGGGATAGGCCAGCAATTCTGACAAAGTTGAAAAAGAACATTTTTGGTTGATTCACGGAAAGTGAAAGAAAACTTTTGCCAGGTTCTTGCTAATTAAAGTGTGTGAGAAGATAATAAGTATAGATATAATAAGTATAAAAATAAATATAAGTATAATAAGTATAAATAAGAGGTGTGTGTGTGTGAATAAGAGAGGAAAGTAAGAAAATAGATTTCAGATTAATGCGAGGTGCTAAAAGAAAAGTCTGTCAGTAAAAAAAAAAAGAGTCAGAAAAGTAATTCTGCGAGTAAGAAAAGGAAGTTGTTGAAAGATTCCAATTGAGCAGAGGGTTAGAGAACATTGCCGACACACTTACTGCGTTCATGGTTTTGGCTCATCACTTCCCTCTGTCATGCGTTGTTGAAGGTGAGAACATGGTGGGCTTCCTCGTTTGAACAGAAGCCAAGAAAAACGACTTTATGGGGCTTCGGAAACTCCCTGGTCGCATCCCAATTTTTAGGATAAGGAAGCGGAAGAGGGAAGCATGCGCCTCGTTTGAAGGCAAAGGCCAAGAGAGGCGATCGATGGAAGAGAGAGAGAGAGAGGAATCCCTACTCATCCATCTCTCCATTCGCTAGACCCGAGTCACAGGATATGGCGGACGCGGAAGAAGCTGCAGAAGAGGGTTTAGGAGGTGAGAACGACGTCGTGCGCTTCGCGGCGGATACGGCGCGACATAGTAAAATATACGGTGCAGCCCGGAACAAGAAAGTGATCCGAGTCCTCACCGTCGTCGGTTACGTGATCTCTGTCTCTCTGGCTGGAGTCATGCTCTCCCTCTATTACACGTTCATCTGGGAACCCGGATCTACTGCAACGGCCTTGCCACACCCCCTCGTCCAGCCAGAACACGATGACTATGGTAAGTCGTCCCAATTGGAATAGTTTAGGAGTCTGCTTTTGATCTCAGTTGCCAGCATTTACAACGGTGCTTTTTTGGTTTGAGTTCGATGCTTGTCATTTGAGTCTCATTTTTTCATGTGAACCCGTACGAGTACGAAGCATCTGTAAGAGTGATGACTTGGGTGTGGCAGAGTCAAATGAAAAAATGTCGAACTAGTATGAAACACATTGTATCATTCATCGATTCATGAAGTCTAGAAATAAATGCCTCTATTAGGAATCCCATTGCCGAATTTCTGGACAAACAGGTTAATGCTGGTCGTCATCTATCCGTGTGTCTTATATTTGATATCTCCCGTATGGAGCCAAGATAAGATGCATTAGCAATTAAATATCGAAAGGAAATATGTTTATTCATTAATACATGACAATTCGTATGACCGTGGCCAATGACATTGAGAAACAATGACGCAGCTATCGAGTAGGGTGAATGTGCCCGTCACGTGTCCGGAAGAGGTGAAAGAAGTTAAAGTAATAACTGCAAGTAATTGTGGATGGCAATATTTGATAACAATCTTCCCCTTGAAGAATAAAGTCATCTATGTTCTGACACTATAAGATACATTATTACAAAACTAAGCACTCGCGAGGTCACCCTCTGAAACAGTTGTTCCCAGCACGATATGAACGTCACAGCAAGAGACGCGTGGTTGACAATAGTTTCGCACGATTTCTAAGTATTGGGCGTAAGTAAATGCTATTTCGCGGACAGGAAAAGTTCAAGAATACGTACGATGACCTTACTTGGGAAACGCTTCATGCGAAGTGTTGATTTTCATGCTCAATTCTTATTCTACAGGAAACTAGGGGAGCATCGATGAATGTTAAACGGAATGCGCATGCTATGAGCAGATTACCGCCTTACTTCCGGTGTGTTCGAATTTAATTTTCCCTGCATCTGATTTCGGACATCCACGTTAAAGGCACTATCAGCATAGACAAAGCTTGAAAGTTAGATTTGTCCTATGGGAAGTAGAATTTGTAGACCTTTTGCAGTGATTGTGTTCATGCAGGAAGGAACATGATGTCGGACAATCCTGTCTTGCCTTCTGAACAATTTAGCGTGGCTTCTCGCCATTTTCTTTCCCAGGCTCCAGCACGTGAAGCCTCTCACGTACTTTGAACAATGTAGGAAGGGTACAAATTCTCAAATTTAGCTGTCTTCTCAGTGGATATTCCAGCTTCCCTTAAACTCAGGAATGACGAAGGGGATGTAACTGAAGATCATGATGCCCAATTGTCAGTGACTTCCGAAGAACGTTCTTCAATAATAATTAATGATTTTTCTCAAGTTTTGCATACTCTCCGGGGTGCAACGATGGAGATTTTCACCTCCTGACTTTTTTTTTTGTTAAATGAATACGCTATGAAGTGAATGCAATGCTTCGATTCTCTTGACAGTGACCATTTGAACATAAATGGGTTCATCTTATTCCAGGTACTTCTGTCCTCGATTACTGGGGAGATATCACGGAAGGAGAAAATCAGAGCTTCCCATATGTTGAAATGGTAGCGCCTCAAACGGATCAGCATGAAACAGCAAGGGGTAGCAAGGGCACTACTCATTCTCTGCCCTCAAGAGAACCTTGAGAGTTCAGGAAATGCGTCCTCAGATCGCACTCCGGCGAATCAGCACCTTTGTATCTTCATTTCTACTGCAAGCCTCAATAGAAATGCTTTTTGAAGAGTAAAGGAAATTCCTACTTGGATTGAAGCTGTGATCCAACATGTCTTCTATCTTTCTTCTCCATGTGTCCTCGGTCCTTGTTCCTGTTTTTGTTTTATTGAGGGGACATTTCTTTTGTAATGCAGTCATTGTATCAGCATTTCAAATTCACCATTAAACTTAACAATATTCAAGTTTCAAGAAAACTTGTTAAGTGTTGAAAGAGTGGAAAATAAAAACAATGATCCACTTAATTTCTATTAGTTCTGTCACTATGCACATAAAAGCTGGTGAAAGCAAATGTAGTTGAGAACACAGTTTTTCTTTGGTGAAATCACTGCAGCACGAATTTTCCTAAATGATTCCAAACAGATACTGCGAGTACCAAAACAACATCCATTTTGAATCTCTCCAAAACTTTAATACTGACAGTATCTGCTTGGAAAAAGTAATGCTGCATTGATTTCACAAAAAGTGCTATCAGCTATATTTGCTAGTCATACCTGCTTGCCTGCCACAATAGGTATGTCAATAAACCTGTTAGTGTTGTGTATTTTACAACATTGAATGCTTCAAACATGCCTTTTACTTTCATATATTCATACATTTTACCTTTGATATGATTGCAAGTAGCTTACTTAAGAGAAACAATAACATGCATATCTTAATTCATAAACTCTTTTTCTGCTGCTGCAAGCAGGCATAATTTATTTTTGGTAACCTTTATAGCAGATTGCATTGATAACTGGCAAGGTATCAGGTATGACCCCACTTCCATGCATAGATGCGTACCATGTGGTAATCAATTCCTAATTCACAAGGAACAGGTACAAAGATAAAATGGTGATATAATCCCATAATTTATTCAAGTATGATTCCAAATTTTGGAAATGTGTACCATCTCATGCATCATGGACCTGGAAAGACAGAGTATGAGAACAGATTCACACATTCATCAATGCTCTTTGGATGCCATTTGTCTCATCATGTTGCATACAAACTTCTCCACTTTCTTGAGATCCTGTATGTACTCCGTCCTGAACTGGAGACACTGAAAGAATAGTTGGAAGTCTCTATGTGAATGAATGCACTCTACATGAATTGTTGGCAAAAAAGAAATGCAAAAGAATAGAAGAAGAAGATCAATGACAACTATGGTGGCATCATCCCAGTAGTTCAAATTTGCAAACTGTTTTTATTTCCTATTTTTATCAATTATGATCATGCTCATGTTTTGATTTAAAAAAAATTGTTGGCATGAGTTTGACTTCTCAATACTAAAGGAGGTAATTCCATCTGAGAACTGCCTACACTTGGTTCTGCATGGGATCTTGATGATTATATAATGAAACATATAGAAGCTAATACTAATAGCTAATAGGAAGGGCATGTTCTGCAACAACAGGAGTTCCAAATTCATAACATGCACACACCATCATTTGAATAAACCTTGAGAGAAAAGAAGGGCATGGTGCTAGAAGGACATAAGTATTGTATGAAGAAGGTCCATGGTGACTGCATTAACTGGAATGGAGGATGGAAGGCTAAGGCAATGACTCCAAAGGGCAGAATACATGTAGGGAAACTTAGTCACATTTTACCATGTTGCTTCTGTTTCATGTTCTTGTGCACTTATCAGGTTGTAAAGGTGAAATTTAGACATTTTCCAGAAAACAATTTATTGACAATTAACTCAACAACGACTAGAGTGCAATCTTGCGTCAATGTATCTGTTGTAGGTTCACGATAAGCACTCACGCCCACAATGCCCACTGGTCACTCTACTTATACACCTACATAGAAAGTTCTAACATTTTCCAGATTTTTCTAGAAAAAATCGAAATGTCTAAATTTCACCTTTACAACCTGATAGAAAGGGGTATGTGGGAAACCTGAGAACAATCATGCACCTGTATACATATATCTTATGATAGGCAAAGATGATGCCAGGAGCTACAAATGGTTTTAGATGGGTGAACATGATCTTAACACATTCACTACCACATGCAACTGTAAAAAAAAAGTGCCTTTTCCATCATCGAAAATAAATTTCTGGTCAAGTTGTGAGTGAAAATTGATATCTACATTGCTTCTTCTGTGTCTCCTTTATGTTTTCCAAATGTTTTGTAACATTTGAGCTGCACCTGTGGAAGAATTTACTAAATTGAAAACTATTTCAAAGGAGGAATGAATACATTGTATGCTATCTTTGGCAGTGAATGCATTAAGGAGAAAAGTAAAGATCATTAATGGGATGAGTGGGGTTCACTCAATGTACTAGTTGGTGTACAGTTCCTATTATCTCCCACATTAAAATTACTCCTGACTATAACTGTTCAAAATAAAAATTATACATCAGGCCCTTTTTTGACCTCAAATGTTTTACCCACCATAGTGAAGCAGATGTAATACTGACTTTACCACCACTCCCAAGTCAGACCAAAGTTTGCGAGCCTATTCCACCTACTGCAAATGGTATGCATCAGTTGCATTATAACGTCAATTGAAAATAAAAACAATCCATCCCAGATGCTGCACTGCAGACCATGGATGGTACAAGTCAGTTTCACAGATTCAGTAGCTAAATGCTCCCACTGGGCAATTGAGTTGCTACATATAAAGGCATGCTAATGGCTTGCCACTCATGTAGCTAACTGATGAGCCTTAGAAGAGGGTAGAAGCTACTCTCCAAGGAAAGGTCACATGATGCTTGCAAGCATGCTAGAAGAATTCTCTTCATGAACGACAATGTCAACTTAATAGCATCGACATAAAAGGTGATGGGTTGAATATCCAAGAATCCAGTCTTCTTGTCATCCTTCAGTTCATGAATATCAAATGAAAAAGGGACTGAATGAGTACCATTCAGCAGATCTGTTTCGAAGCAGCAGCAGCAACAGCTACTTGAGAGAGAGACCTACTACTTCAAATATCCCTCATTAGCTAATAGTATCAAATAATGACAATGCAGTTGTCTAGTTAGAATGCAAAATACATTGAATCCCATTAATACAATTGAAACAGAGATAAAATCTGATTAACATACCACAGTATCATCAGTGACTTTCAGGTTCAAGATCCCATGTGCATGGTCGTATTTCATGGAATACCTCGTCTGTGGGGAAAAAAACCAAACCCATAAAATTTGTGTAGAGCATAGGTCAGCAAGAAAAGTGGACAGTCTGATTGCAGGTTAATACACTTCATGAAAAATCTTTTGTGGTAGACAATGCATAGAGGTGGTCTTATCACACATCACACTATTGTAAGAAATATAGTAAATTCATAGGGGGAATGCTCTTTCTCTTACTGATGCCTCTTCTTCCACAACAGTAATAGAAATCAAATGGAGAGTGAACCTTTCCCAAGGGGATGCAGCATTTTCAGTGGGATTGTTGCATCAAAATTCTTTCTTTCCAAAATGTTTGCAATACTGAGATCATGCATATGTGCATAAATATACACATACATGCATGAATAAGCTCACTCTCTCCCTTTCTCTTTACTGAATTTATCCCTACTTTGTAATTATGGAAAGCATTTCCCTATCTGTACCCTTCACAATGATATGATTCAGCCATGTGGTAGGGGAGTCATTTCCTACTAGGAGTTCCAACTGCCGTCAGTACCTAAATGGCAAGGCTGAAGACATCTAGCAACATCTACTGACAGTGTTTCATGTGGTTAAATGGATGACTGATACCTGCAAGACAGTTCCTATGTTGTGGAATTTCCACATTAGGGATTGTAGAATCCAAGTAAATGAATTTCTGTGCAGTGTGCGAGTTTTGAGGTAATGGTTACAATTTGCACTAACATTGAATCCTACAGATGGGCTTCTCATAGTTGACATTTGAAATATGTAGCAAAATGCACTGTATTCTGAAGTCTTACCTGACCATCAATTCTTATGTAGAGAAATACAAAGAATGAATGCCCTTTATTTGCCTAGACATCCAGTTCTTGTAGGATGTTTGTTATCAGATACCCCATAGTTTTAAAGACACTCAGGAACTGTATGAGCCATCCTTTGAGCCTCAGGAATTGTATGAGCCTTTTGGTGACCTTTCCAGTGATTTTAAGAAATGAAATTACCCTTAAAAAATTATGTACTGCACCACAGATTATTTTATTGGTCCTTGTCCTTTCATTGAGATCAACCTTACAGACCACATGAGACAACCTCCCTGGGTCTTTGAATACTTCTGGAGAGTCACTTCTGAAAGGATTACCCATTCACACTTGTAAATGAGTCACTTTCCCAGTTCCCACATGGTGGCATTGATGAAACTTCCAATACAAAAAAAAAGGCAGCCAATTGAGTCCCTTGGAAGGATCCTATCCTAGAAATTTGTCAGGCAGCCTGCATCATCAGGGGGTTGAGGCCGCAAGTCTGACCAAACAAACCCTACCCAGAAAGTTTCTACTGCCAGGTGCTATGGCCTATGGAATTAAACAGTTAGACTGTACCTAATGCCTATGTATATATTTATTAATTTGTTGTTTACCTATGAAGAGAGACTTTAAAAACTTCCACAGGGAAATTGTGCATGCTAATATATATTTGGTTAAGTTCTTCACATTCATCCCCATGTAAAAGGAGGAATTAATAGGCCTCCCTATCCATGCACTGTCCCCTCAGCCAAGAATTATGTAAGGAAACCTTCAAAAAGCACCTTTCTCCACCCCAAGCACCTTCAAACCTGGGATCACTCAAGACCTGAGAAGTACAAAACATGTGTCTTACATTCTGGTTTGCATGTCAAGAACCTGGTTCTCATCAAGAGCAGAGAACCAGGAGCCTATTCCTTGCCTCTGCTAAACTTAATCTAAACTTGACCCAAAAGCATTATAAAAATTGGTGAAGGAGTCTGCCGTTCCTCACCTCAGTGCCAAATGACTGCCTTTAGATTAAATTAAGTTCAGTGCTAAACTTAACCTAAATTGAAACTTAACTGAAACTTGATTTGAAAGGATTGCATGAAGCAAGTGTGTCATATTGGTAACCTGTGGGCCGGATCCGGCCTATTAATTCATTTCGTCCAACCCGCAAAGCCAACTTCACTTGTTGGTTTCAGAAAAGCACTGAGATTTCAACCAGTTTTGATTTAAAATTTGGTGCAAGATTTGTTTTGTGTGGTCCCCAACTACTCCTGGAGGGTTCCATCTGGCCCCCAGCATAATCAAGTTTGATACCACTGGTATCAACCAAGGGAGTCTGCTGTTCTTCACCTCAGTGCAGGACTAATGCACATGTTCATAGATAGGGGGGAGGGGGCCATTGGGAATAAAACAAGAATTACCCATCAGTACAAGAGATAGGGACAAAATTGAACTATGGTGTAACTGAAAGAGGGGGTTCAGGGAACCCACACCCTTTTTTGAGACTTCATCCCTCCTACCCCTTCCCCCTCCCCCTCCCCATTGCTTCCACTGCACCTCTCCCCCTTGGGAAGAGGTGGGCACAGAACATGGTATACCCAGAGCCCCCAATATCATTTGGTTCTGCCTTGCCTACATTAAATCTAAATCCAAGTCTGAAGGTTCATGCATGTCAACTGCATCTAAGCCACTGGTATAAAAAATATTTGCTGGCTAGAGGGTTTCAATTCATTTATGTAGGTTCATGCTGAGAATGCAGATTGAAAATTTGATTACCAACTCTGGGGAAACTCTGATGATATGTACCATACCACCCAGACATGGTGACAAGGGAGGACACAAGAGAAAAAGTATTAACTACACATTCTTCCTCTCCTTTGCCAATGAAAATTAAAGTAAAACCCTTATTTTAGAAAAACTGAAATGGAGCAGTGACTAGTTTCCACTGCAACCCAGAAGCATGAAGTGAAACGACACTATAAGACTGTGGATTGAAGTGAAAACTATTTAGGATCTACATCACAGCTCACATCACATAAATTTTCTCTGCTGCTTGTGAGCATTACTTTTGTACTCAGATGTGGAATCAAACAAAGAGGGTCCCTTCCATTTATTCCAACATTAAGATAGCATTTAGGCTGAGTCAGACTAGTCTAAAAATATCCACCTATTTAGGCAGCATTTTAGCACAAGTCTGGATGAGGAACAGGCTTTAAGCTTTTGGTTAGTTTCTTGATTAGATGAAGTTTCGATTTCGATAAGGTTTAGCATAGCGAGAAGCAGGCCTTGGGTTTTAAAAATGTGCCCAGGTCAAGTTTAAATAGATATTAAGTTTATAATAAGTTTAGATCTAAGATTAAATTTAGCAGAGACGAGGGACAGGCCCCATGTATCCTTTCGCTTCATTGCAGGTGAGACTTCAAAGAACTCGAGCAACCAAATCAATACTTACTTTTCGAGGTTCTGATTGGTAAAGCTTCTCTGCAGCGCCCTCAAATTCCTCCCACGAAGTAAGATATGTCATATTTAATCGTCCTGATCCGTCGGTCCGTTACCACGTGGACCTTACGAACATCAGAAGGCAGCCATGTTTCGCTTGGGATTGCCCATGCTCCTTCGTTCGCCTCATCTCTTATTCGAAGGCTTTCATTTTCCAGATCCAACAAGAACGAAATCAAATTCATTTTTCAAGGTCCCACGAAAACTGCAATCCATCAATCAAAATCGAAATAGAAAAACTTTTCAGGTGTAATGCGAGTCTAGATGGAAGCCCCTTTCATGGGATTGACCCATCGAGGGTGACGAATAGCGATGATGGCGTCCTGTATTAGAGTGCTTTCTCTGGCTCTAACCAAGGAATATTAAACGCTGCCTTTGTCATATAATTTTCTATAGTTTTTCGATTATTAACTTATTTCTAATATGAGTATGGATTTATCGTGTAGTAAGTTTCAAGCTAGTGTTTGATACCTTTTCAGTTTATTCCATCAGCAACGCGTAGAGAGCTATCCTAGTCTAGCTTAAGATAGAGGAAGGGCTATGGTAGAGGGCAGGGATCCTCAGCCTTTTTCCCCCGTTCAGCCACTATTGTCTTTCCTGTGACTTGAAGAGTCTTTCTCTTATTCCCGTGTGCAACGTCAAATCAGTAGGTCCACCATGTTGTCACCACCATGAATTGTGTGCAATTGTAATTGAAAGACGCTGCATGATGTGGAACAATATCAATCCCTAGGTTAGTGGAATGCTCAAAATATTTTATCCCCACATACTGTTCATTAGAGAACAATGAGGACTGCCAGTGGAGATGTGTTGATAGATATGGGGAAAACTCCCAAGATCTCTGCACCTCCCTACCCCTACCCCCCCTCCCCCTCCCCTCCCCTCCCCCTACCACCTTTAACCCTTTCAGTCCAAGTGGTCAGAACGCCCAATCACATTTTTACTGCGCACTTTTAATTTGAAGAATGGTGGTTGAGACTTACAACCACCACTCAAGAGTAGTTTCATGTGCCATCTAGCATTTGACTTCTTGAACTCTCCGCATAAAAGGGAAGAACACAAACTTTATAACAGCTAGCAACAACTGCATTTAGTTAAATTTACATTGAAATTCAAAATCAAGTTACTTGCCTCAAATGGTCAAGAGTAAATTTTTTTTCATTACCTACTCAGCTGTTTCTTCCTTCTGTATAGGTTTTATGTCTATTAGTAGCATTTAAAGGGAAAATAAACACTTTCCTTAATTTATTCACTTTCATTCATGCAAAAACATGACTCTGCCTCTCTGCATAGCAATGCACAAATTTATTGTAGATGTTGTAGCGAAGTTGTAGCATACACAGCACACATGTGGTCAAGGAGGATAGACCTTAGAAATCATGTATAATTTGAGCCTAAGTATCTGTTGAACTCCCATGTACATTATCATCTGCCATTTATCCACACTGCATGAATTGGCAGGATCTCATGCATGCCCAAGTTAAGTTTTAAGGTGCAAGGCATGTAACCCCTAAGTCAATCAGTACATCTTTGTGATTTATTTTTATGGCCTTCAGATAGAGAAGTATCCTTAAAAGTTTTTAGGAATGAGTCAAATGCCTACCTTTCGGTGATGCATCCTTCCTGGGGACCATTTACTCAGAATAATGCCAAATTGCATTTATTATTTCCTCATTTGCTTTGTGGCACAGAATATTAGCTATTGTTTAATGTAAAGAACTTCATCTTTAAATTAACATAGTTTAAATACTGTAATGATTTAGATACTGGGGTTCTCAAAGGGTTTTTCCATGCTTGACTAAGCCCCCATAGTTCAATCTTCCAGAGTCCTGGTTATTCTGTCTGCTGTAGGATTCAATTCAGAAGTTGACTTCATGTCCAAAGTCAAGCAAGATCAACTATCATGCATTTACCACCAAGGCCTAGGGTTTATTTTTATTATCAAGATATAGCTAAAGGCTACCTGAGCAGTATTTCTAGGTCTTCTTTTTTTTTCCTTGCAGATCCCACTTGGAATGTAGCAGAATTGTGAGAACCACTGCCATTGGGTAGAGTTGTTAATCAGAGAAGTTACTATATAATGTGCCTGTGGTAGAAAGTTACCCCTTAAGAACCTAAAATTCATTGAATGGAAAAGAGGTTTCTGGTAATATTGGGCACAAGTTATATCAAAATAAGCTTGAAACATTTTTTGAACCCGAGTTATTGCTCCACATGAGAAGGATTAATGGATTTTCTTATCTTGAGTATGAGACAGCTCATGAAGACTTTTAAGCCATTCTCAATCGTTGTCTTTAATGGTGTCCTGCTAATTTGGCTTGGAGTTTTGCTGGAAAAATTTTCATTTTCAAGACTGTGACATTTCTTCTCAGGGAAGTGATGCTTTATTGTATGCAATTAATTTATTATTCTATCAATTTTATTTTTCATCAATTAATTTTATCAATTTTAAATTTATGGTATTTATGAATATATTTAGGGAAAATGCAAGTATCAGTGAGGGTGCATAACTTTATTTTTTGCCAATCCTGTAGCAATTTTTCTTTATACATGCTCCATGTTGTCATATTAATTTTTATGCTTCTCTGTTATTAATTTTTTTCTGGGCTTGGTTTCGCAGACCCCCTGGAGCCTCACTGAGGACCCCTAGGGATCCATAGACCCCCGGTTGAGAAGCTCTGCACTAGAGGGTAGACATGAAATTGATGACAGAATGGAAGCAATCTATTTTCTACATGTCCTGTTATTGCTATGGCAAACCTACAACCACTAGGTGTTTAGAGGATGTAACTTAGGCTTTCCTCTCCTAGCCTTTTCTCTTTTCAATGAATTGTGCATTGATGCAATGTTAGTCCTGGATGGGAGAAGGAATAAAAACACTTACCCTGACAAGGGAGAGATTCTGGCAGGTCTTATTGACCTCTTTTCTAGCCTATTCTAATGTCAGATGCAATAGAGTCCCTCTATAGAGTCTGCAGAATTTTGGCTATTTTTTGCAAATATAATTGCTTGCAATATTATGAAGAAATTATTTTCTCTTCACAAAACTTATATTAAAGGAAATCCAATAGGTGGTGACTTGTGGGGGAGAAGTTCATAAAACTGATGGTAGGGCTATAACAAAGTTGCCAATTGGCAATTCAAGTGACTAAGTTAAAAGTATTCAATGATTTGTAGGAATAACTGGTGGTAGATAGAGTGTCAAACTGGGTTCTGCAGGGTATGGATTCTTGTGACCTGAGTGCACAAGATAAAAGTAGGATGTATTCAATTAGGGAAAGCCCCATTAGCATCCTCCTTTTTCTAATGTTTTCAAGCAGGGCAAAAGGAATATAATGCCCTGAAGGAGGGTGTCCAATCCCAAAGAAGTTCACCTGGCTATAACCCTGTCCTGTCCTCATGTCTTGTACTCTGTATTTTAAAACATTCAAGTTAAATAGTTGATCCCCCAAAAAAAAATAAAATCACTTCTTTGTGAGTCCCACTCCCCGTGCTCTCTTTGATGGTAACTTTGTATAAAAGACCATGTAATTTAGTCCAGAATTACCTGTCCAAATGGAAAATTGTTGCACACATCACAGAGATATAATTTTGCCAATGTGTGTATGGGTGTACACCCTGTTTATATTGGCACCACAAGCCATAATTCCCCTTATGAGTATGGTTTATCTTGGGTCTTGATTGGCTAATTTTGAGGTTTTTTGCAATTTTTTAGAAACTCGTATAGTAGCATTGATGGAGAACTAGTTGCTTGCATTGAATTGAATCCATTAGAATAGAAGTTTTGCCAAGTGTTTAAACATAATCCCCATATTAATTTCATGAATTAATGGTCTTTATTAATCTTCATTTTATCCTGAATTACTGTGTCGCGTGGATTGGCTTATTATTCACATTAGACTGTTGTTATTTGCCTGCCTATTATTCAACTTCCCCCCCCCCCCTCATCTAGCTCATTAATTAATATCAGCTGTTCTTTGTACACTTTTACTCTATTGTTACCTAGCGTGTGATACAGTTCTAAAGAACAATCCTAAATTTTTATTCTTAATACTTGAGTTGACTAGTTGAAGGGTACAAACAAGAAGTTTCAGATTTAGAGTACATTTCAGTGTAACTATCCATTTGGTTTTTTTGTGATGGTTCTGTAGCATTTCATTTGTGGCTTAGTAGGATCTAGAAATGCAGTATTTTTTTTATTGAAGGAGATTTTTAAAACGGTTTTCTTGAGTTGGACATAAATAAGCCAGCCATGCTTCTTCAGTGACTTTAGTAATACCAATAGCACTGAAAACAGCATTGTTATCTGGCCAAAAGGCTGAATTTGATTGAATTTAGCTATGAGACGGCTGTTTTTGAGGTGAAAATTGTAAATGTTAATGCCATGTTTAAATATTTCACGTATGATTGTTTGATTCCATACCAATAAGTAAATAAATTGAGTGACCTTGGAATTTTTGCTTTTAGAAATTTAACTACAATTAGGTTTTATGGAAAATTTGAGCAGATAGTGCTATTCAGCTCCTCATGGTTTGATAAATAACCAGTAAATCTTTGACAGGTACTTTGGATGATACGAGGCATCACCATGGTATTTGCTAAAACTATCCCTATGGTTTATTGTACCCCTATCAAAGCTCCCTCAGAAATCCCAAGTCATAGTAGGCTGTTGATTTTAACACTAGTGTTAAACTTTGATGAGCAGAAAACATCTTTTTAAAACATTGAGCTAATGAAAACTTCTACTAGTCAGGCAGTGGTGACATTATGCATGGCTGTTATATGGCTTTAGCCTTAGTACTCTTGGGTTAATGAGTGAGAATTGAACTCCATCATTGTGGCATCAACATTTAGAAGTTCAACTGAAATCTCAAGGTGCTTGCAACTCTATTGTCCATTGTATTTGAAGATGCTTTCACATGAATTCAGCTATTGTTCATGAGCCTAGCAAGCTAGCCTTTGTGTATGGGATAATCCTGATTTATCTGCTTGATTCATATGAAAAAGAACAAACATGCAAACAGAGAAGGAGACAGAATTTTGATTTGAACTTTCTAATTTTTTTCCACCATCACAGATTAAGAAGGAGAAATCCACACAAGCCATAGAAATTATCTTGTTCAACAACACACTTGAGAGTAAGTATTTCTGTGTAGTGCCCAGCTATATTCTCCCTCACAGGATTACATCCAGAACTCAGTGTGTCAAACATGTGTCCCTTTTTCTAGAATAGGGTAAGAGGAACAATATGTTTGTAGCTCCCCCCTCCCCTCCTCCTCCCCCACCAACACCACCTTACTGAACTGCTGCCACTTGGCCAAAACCACCCTGTTATGAAGTTGCTATTCTCTTACATGTTCATGAGCATGTCATTTCAGCTGTACTAATAGAAATGCACAAATCAGTGAACTCAGAGAAGTAGAGAAGTAGCTTTTGTTACTTAGTGCCTTATTTTTGCATTTGAAACATAAGTAGATGGGCTTTATGGGCCTCAGGACCCTAGCAGCTGTTGTTTCAGAATGACATGCCTAATATCCACTTGTTCTGTACCACTGGAGAAGTGGGACATGGACTTATCTTAATAAAAAGGTAAAGGGTGCATCCTTGATGCACATTGGCATCCAGACAATTGTTCCCTTCATATGTGACAGAGAATATATAAATGACTCCTGTGAAAAAAAAATCCAAGGCTATTGAATATTTATGGAGAGCAGAAGCCTGCTAAGAGACCCTAACAAATATGGGGTCCCACATACCCAGACCTACCCTCTGGATATCATGTTACAGCAGTAATGTTTAGTAAATACTTAAACAAATTGACTGTGGAATTTGTGCTGATTTTTCAATCTGACCTGCAGGAACAATAACTTCTCATTCTCTTGCAAATGATGAAGTTCAATGTGTAATCAGAGCTCCCACTTTTCCCAGGAAGCATGACTGCTTACTATCCAACTATAGTTTATCTGCTCAAAGTAGCTCTTGGTTCATTTTTGCATTTTCCATAGGCCTATGATGAATAATCCTTTACTTGAGCTTCTTTAACCTTTAAAAGGGGGATTTAAGTGCCATAAGTGAACCCTGCCTAGTGGGATTTATTGGCATCCCTTTAAATATTTTGTCATAACAACAGCCATCAGTACTATCCAAATTAAAGGAAAAGCTATGGGTATATGGGTGTCCAAAATAAAGAAGAACGTACTCCATTATTCTCAGGATTGAGGAGATCCCAGTCATGAGTCTAAGAATACTTTTCTTGGGGTTGTGTGAATCCCAGTTGCAAATTGAAGGTTAAGCAGCATGATGAATAAAATTGACCCTACTCCAACTGTCACCCAAATTTTGACTTCAACTAGACCTAACATAATTTGCTATCTTGGGACTCTACCATTGGACCATGGTAATGTGATCCCTCTTGGAATTGTTTCTTTAAGAAAGTTTGATTCATGCATGCTTAAGATTACTGTGGTAGTAATTGTTCAATTGGGGACTGCATTAGTGGAAGAATGTTAACACCATCATTGTATTTATTTGCAATGTCATGTCTTCACTTGGAAATCAAAACATATATAAGCCCATCTGGTATCATTAGTGGTTAAGTAAATGATGGGGAAATCAGTTGAAGGTAATTTAGTGTCTTGCAAAGACACAGGTAATATTGTGCTTCATTGACTTTGTTTGGTTAGCTTGCTACATTCATTACCTTATTAAGCCCTGCTTGTAACCTATTTGTGAAGGTTATGTAGTGAGAATTGTAAAAAAAAAAATTCCAGTTAATCAAGGGTTATGAGTTAATTATGAAGAACTTGTGTAAATTCTAATTTTATTTCTCTTTCTAGGTTCCTACACTGACTGCAATTATGCAGGGTAAACAAAGGACCTTGAAACGGGATGATGATGGTTGCTGTGCTCACTGCTGATGAACAGCCTATGTTATTGATGTTATTTTACGTTCTACGTGATGGTTGGCCAGGAGCCATAATATGAGACATTGTGATTCTTAATGCCGGTGAAAGCTTCCTGTTCCTGATAACTCCCTCTGCTTAGTCCAGGATGAAGTAAGTTGAAGCTGCAACTGAAGTATGCTCTTATTGTTATTTTCAAGATAATGTGTTCTAGTCGTATTTCAGAATAGCAGTGGATTTTGGTGCCACATGAGGGAGAAAGGTGCTTGTTATCTGTGTTTGCTGACTGCTTTCAAATCGACATGCAGAGATAAAGCATAACCTTGGTTGGAAATGAAGCTCCAGGAGTGGGGGCTAGATTGCCTTGAACTGTTTAGAACTTGCCATGAATAATAAGAATATTTCCATCCTGACTCATGGTTGGAAAAATGAATCAAGAGAGAGCGAGAAAAGCTAGGGATCTTTCTTCTCCCCTTCCATGATCCCTGGAGAGGGGGGAGTCAGGGTTTCCCCTCCTGTCTCTCCCCTGTACTTAGCTAGTCTGAGGTCGATCAATATCAGAGAGGACGGGAATGAAGTATTCCCTATCCCCCCCTCTTGGTCTTCCTTCCATCATCATCGCCATCATCCAAGTTCGTCATTTCATCTCCCAGTCTTCCCCTTATCGTATTTCTGGCTCGTGAAACAGGTGGCCAGCATCCCGGAAGCAGGTCTTCTTTCTCTCCTGTTTTTTTTTTTATCTTCTTGCTTCCCATTTCCCCATCATTGACAGCACGCCCCGGTTCTAGGCGGAGCTGCACAGCTGTAGAGTGGAAATGTGGCTTCCTGCTTGATACGCCCTCATCCTATGGACGGGGTTTTATAACGGCGCTTTCCCGTGTCTCGAGCCCATTGAATGAGGGGGGGAGGGGGATATTGACATCCCGTGACATTCGATAAAGTCGACCAGGTGCAAACTGTGGGGAGGATTGCCTTGCCATTTCCTTTGAAGGGCCAGCCAGCTGTTGGTCTGCGCATCTAGTATTACCTTACCTTTTTTCCATGTTAGTCTGCACTGATGAACGAGCCCCCCTGTTCTCGCCTGCTTCGTGTCTGAGTTTTTGTTTATGAATCCAAATCTGGCAACCCCTCTGTTCTTCTTTGACGGTTTATTTTCCCAAATTCTCTCGCCATCTCCAGCGAATCTTCAGTGTGTGGTCTCGGAGGTGGGCCTTCCACCGGTTCCGGGCGTTTCCGCCCAATAAAATACGCCTCCCTGCACTTTCCATTGATCTTCGTTCTGCTGCACTGAATCGAACCGGAGGTCATCCATAGTCGTAAAGAAAGGAAGGCCCAACGAACTTGCCTTGTATCTGCGGGAGATTCGCTGCTCCGTTGAGCCTGCCTTCGTGGGGAGTAAAATTCAACCCTTAATGCTTCTCATGGTATATGCTGAGACGTTAGAGTCATGCCTCATTCCCGAAGAATCGGGGAGCCCGAAAGCATACTTTTTCCTCCGCTTCGGTGGCATTTTGTTGCACGAAGGGGAGAAAAAGGAAGTGCTACCGGTCGTATGTATCAAAGGGAGAGGGGAAACCTGGGGATTTTTCACTTCCCTCACACTTTCATGATGCCTGATGTGAAATGTTTTTGTGGAAGAGGTTCGGCCGGCCGCCACGGAATCGATACGAAGGTGAAGCATGTCGAGATTTCGCCTATATCCCGTCCTGGCTCAATCCATCGTCGTGGTGAGCACGCCAAAATCCCCTCCATAACGAACGAACCGAGTTTCTGTTTTCTTTCATTCGATCACGTAGTTCGTGCGTGGGTGATTCTCCGTGAGATCATGAATGAGGAGAGGGCTTGTGTTGGAGTACACGTGCCATCTCCTTTGTTATCTATCCATGTCTGGGGGTCATTCTGTAGTGTTTCCTCTCGTTAAGACTTTTTTTTTTGTCTGCCTGCTGACCTTTTTGCCTACTGAGCTTCATCTTCTACCGGATCTATCCGGTATCTCTGGAATGGCATGGTCTCCTGTTGTCATTACTCCCGTTCCAAGGATTCCGATCTCATTTTTCTTCCATGGAAATTCCCATTGGCGAATGGAGATGCCGTGGCGAGTGCTAAAATCCAAGGTGCGTTGGTATTCCTCGCATGGTTCATGGAGGGGGGAGGAAGAAGGGTTCTTTAAATCCTCTTTGAATTCCTCGCTTCTTCCATGCGCCGAGTCTGACCTCGTCCCCTTTCCCACCAGCCATTGTTCGTAACTTTGGGGGGAATCCTCCTTCACTCTGATAACTGGCTGCAATGGTGATAAAAAAAAAAGTGTTCAGGCTCTCCCAGTGTGTGTCGTAATCGAGGCCGGAACCGGAAGGTTGCTCATCATCTCGCTATTCACGGAACCCAGGCTCTATGACGAGACACTTCGTCGTGCTCGTCAGACGGCTCCTCGTAATCCCGTATATTTTGAAGCGATATGGTTCTCTACACTCACCTGCAAACAGCGGTTCGTGATAAATCTTATCGTTCGTCGTTTCTTTGAGCCCTCGAGACTACGGTGTTGCGTCGCTCTTGGAAGCTATCTTTGGTGGCATGTCCATTCTATCGTCTCCAATCCCTTATAATAATATTGCGATGAGTGAAGAAGAGACGGCATCACGTTCTGCTGAGGCACTTCCGTGAGTTTCTTTGCCTTTTATGCCATGCTGCTGAGCTTTCTCTCTTTTTTTCCCCCTCATTAGCCTTTCATCCTTGCTACATGTTTCCTAGTCATCCCCAGCCCTTTCGCTAACGGTTTCAAAGTCCGTCAGATTACCCTCCATTCGGCCGGAACATTCACAGGTCACATTGAGATTGGTCTTACTCCAGCCAGTGGTGCAATCAGACCAAGGCTTTGGGAGCCCCTCGCCCGCATTTCCTCTTCCTCCCCCTTTCTCACTATGAACTGTAGAGAGACGACAGAGCGATTTGTCAAAGCAATGATGACTGTCAGAGATATTTGCTGTTCGTTTTGTCTTACTTTATCTGTATGGTAAGGACTGAGAGGGGGGAGGTCAAACCCAAGGTCACTGTCATACCTTCCCGGTTTCCGGACTTGAGAAAATTAGAATGGTTGCTACTCAGAGGTTGAATGACAGGATGATAATTATAGCTATTATTGATGATGACGGTCTCGCCAACCATGCATTCGAGGTTGGAAAAAAATGATGTTATGCCCCTTGTTCATTACAGTGAGCAGAGCATTGCCTCAGCCAGGGCATCTGTGATGGTCTACGATGATGTGCTCAAGAAATGGATTCACAGTGGGTCTTCCACGGGCCTCTCAAAAGTACATATCTACCAGCACGTTGTCAACAGCGCCTTCAGAGTCGTTGGAAGGAAGCTGCAGGACCACGAGGTAAAATTCTGGAGCTGTAGTTTTTCAACATTCGGTAAATAAATACATTCTGTGTGAAGACACCCTTGAGACTTGCGCTGAAAATGTATAAAGTCGCATCCTCATTGGTTCTCTTTGGAAACCCTTACTCAATGATGTGGTGGCGATGGTGGTGAATAGATGTCAGCACTGGACCACTCCTTTCCATTGGAGACTAGTGGTTCTGGGGTATCCCTGCAGCATGTCAATGTTAAAAGAAAAAAGTTCCAGCTTCAATCCCATGGTATTTCTGCCTTCAGAAATTCAAAGCCCTGAAGTTTTAATTTTGAACCCATTGAGGATTCTGGTGACAATGCATAATGCACAAGCAAGTGCTATAGCTCACAATACCCCTAGAATTGAGTGCATTTAATAATATGGAAAATTCAACAAGAAAATAGTTTTTAACTCATTCTTTTTTTTTTTGGTTATTTGAGTATTAGTTTCAAGGGCACCTAAATGCTTTGATATATCAGAAGTATCCTCAGGACTTGTAATTGTTGAATTGAATGGATCACATTCAGAAATCATAAAAATAAAAATATAATTGCACTATACTATTGAGGACAAATGCAACACCTTTTCCTGAAGGTGAATGGAAATCTGAAATTCTTAACTTTGAGTAAAGGAAATAAAACCTAATCTTGAGTCATGTTTCTGGAATTCTGGTCAATTTATAACCAGGATTCCTCATTTAAAAGTTGTGAAAGCCCAACATGAGCACTGTAGCATTATGTTGTAAAATCATGAGAGACATTTTGGAAAAGGAAAAAAAAATTTCCCAAGTTCAGACTTAGTTATGTAGAGTCTGGTTATACTTACGTTTTTTGTGATTTAAAATCTGAAATTCACCAGAACTATTGTTCCAAATCTGATAGGAAATATTCACAACACACTCTCTTAATCTCCATGCTGACTCAACAGGTTATTCACTCCATGTTGACCCAAACACATATCTAGAGGACCTAAATCTATATGCCATGAACCTCCTGTATTTGGTTATGATTGAGATTAGGGTTTTATTTGTAATTGAAGAGCTTTGGTTGTTGTTGCAGGTGGTCATCAACTGTGCCATATTGAAAGGGCTCAAATACAATCAGGCCACCCCAACATTCCACCAATGGAGAGATAATAAGCAAGTGTATGGCCTCAACTTCAGCAGTAAGGATGATGCAGACAATTTTGCCACCGCCATGATGAGGGCCCTAGACATCCTGAATGGCATTGCTCCTCCACGTCCTTTGGCCCCTTTGCCTACAGCCCCAACCACAAACCAGCCACAAATTCCAATCCCAGCCATGAATCAACCTATCTACCAATCTATTCCTAGTGGAGTGGGCCCTGGTGGGGACTGGGATGATGGCTATAGGTAGGGATTACCTCTTCTCTACACCCTAACTCATTCCACAGCCATAACTACTAATCAAAGAGAAAATACATAATATAAAAAAGGTATGCCAGGGATGTGATGCAATTAGTGATATAAGAAGTGAAAAGAAAATCATTGTGATATTTGGCAAATTCATTTAAGAAATATATACAGGGTGTTTCAAAAGTCTGTACTCATAGGTAATTGGAACTGTTCAAGTTTATGTCATTAAATTTTCTAATTTGAGGAATTTCTCAGAAGCCTCTCTCTGGCTTCTACCAGCAACTTGTAACAAAACCAATTCCACCTTATCCTGCTGTGTGTAGTCACCCATCATCTTTAATAACAATCACCTGGAAAAGTAAAATTGAACAGTTCCAATTCTCTATGAGTACAGACTTTTGAAATGCCTTATAATTAAAAAGAAAAAGAGATTCTGCAAATAAATATCCAGGAGTAGCATACAAATTGTATGCCATTGCCTGGGTAGAGACCATCATTATGCAGGCCTGTCAATACAAACTACTGAAAATGTAATAAGATACTGCTTATATCTATATGCCTATTTGAAGAAAGTGTATGCTCTGTCTCCCAAAAATTTGGAACTTCTTTCATTGTGCAGTTGTTATTGGTTCTATCACTGTGTCTTTTTACAGCTGACTGAAACATCAAATGAGCAGATGCATGCGAAGCTGTAACAATATCCATTCACTGGCTTGGAAATTTAGGAGGTTATTCAAAGTGTGACAGCAGTAAGGGAGTTCAGCTAGAATTGTAATTGTAGGTAGATACTTATTGCGCGTTGCTTCTGAGGTGCACAATGTGCCTCCTGTCATTTTTTGGACAGGCACAAAACCTTGGTCAAAACTGAGTTATTGCACAGTTAACACTCTCCTGTGACATTTACTTCCATGTCCCCCAAATGCATGCCTTGAGATAGTTGTGATTCTGAATCTGTCATCTGTAGACTTCCTGTGTGGTAATTCTCTATATCCTGGAGTTGACAGGGTATAGGTCAGGAATGTTTGGAGGCCATTCATTTGGTCTGATGGAGTCTACAACATTCTTTTCCAATGAAGAAATGGTATGGCACGACCAGAGATGCATCTCTGGTTGTGTATCTGTTCTGTATTGCTCAGTTGGAGTTTCCTGTGAAATAGCATGACATCCTGTGAAGAAAAGGCATACATTTATTGAAAACAGATCATTTAAGCATTAAGTCTTTATAGCTGAGTCAAGGTAACACTTCCAGACTAATGTGATGGGAGTAGTGGCATAGTGAGGGGGGGCCTCTAAGGGCTTCAGCCCCCCCAACTCCAGTCTAAATGCATCCACTACCCTAACCCTCTCCCTCTGGGCAAGGAGAAGTAAGCCCTCCCCTGTTGGTGAAATCCCAGCTATGCCACTGGATGGGAGAGTTAAAGGTAGCCATGTGGATGCTGAGTGATGGGTTTAAAGAAGAATTCCATGTCAAGCAAACTAGATTTTTGCAAGTACTGAATCCTTTATAGATCCAAGGTGTGTACATAGTACATTTTGTGAAACTTGGGTAGGCCTTGGATTTCCCATGAATTTTAAATGTTTTCTCCTTTCCTTTTACATTTTTACTCCTTTTTGATTACAAAGGTCACACCAAAAGTAATAGCTCTGATTTTGTTCTCAATAAACAACTTGTGGCCCAAGCTTGAAAAAGTCGCACACAGGTATAGGCCATCCAGGCATTAGAGAGCGAGTTGGAGATGAGAACCCTTGCTGCCATTAATTTAGCATCAACATAGCAATTCATCCAATCCTTTATAAAAATGACAAGAACAAAGAGAAATGAGACAGCTGATGGGGATTATCTATGTCTTTAGGCAGGCAAACCAAATTGACCTGCCTCGGGATTTTGCTAGCTCAGATTTGTGTCGGTGTTGTTGGCTTGTTGAGCTGTGATGACCTTCTTTTACCCTTGGGGAAGTTCATATTACATCCTGCCAGGGATTTTCAAGAAAAGTGTTTCTAATGTATAATTTTTAAGTTTAAATGATTTGATGCTTGTCACCCTTCATCATAGTTTCTTTGCTTCTTGATGGGAAAAAATTCTGGCAGCACTGATGCACTCCTCTTTGAGATATACCCAGTGCCACAGGAGAGACAATGCAGGCCTTCAACAACGTCATTTGTTGTACCCTGGAGACTGGAGTTGTCACTCTTTGTGGGTGTCTAAAGATCTGCTCGCTCTCTAATGCCTGGATGGCCTATACTTTCAAATGTCCTCCCTTTTCTTGTTTCGTTAATCCAAGACAGAAAGCTTGGCCACTGTGTTGACTCAAAACAGGAGGGTGATGTATGTCATGAACAGAAACTAACAATTGAATTCCTCATAAGTGAAGGAGTTCCACCATAGATGTTCTTTATTGTTTATGAAGGTTCACATGGCTCACTCAGTGATGCACAGTACATCAACTCATGCATCACCTAAACAAACCTCCACACAACAATGAATATCCATCAGTGGTAATCTTTCACATGTGAGGACTCCTATCACTGCTTCATGCTGGTGATGGACATCATCACCCTCAACTATTTTGAATCACCATAGTGACTGTTTCTGGGCTGGAATCACAAGACTTTTCAAGGAATGGGAGGTCATATGAATCAATTTAATTGAAAGTATCTACATATGCAAATCTCTATTCACTGCAGTCATGAAAGGCCTATTTGATGAATCCAGAGATATCTGATTAGATCATTTGTCAAATTAACTGGCATTGGAACTTAATGACCAAAATCAGGGAATAAGTCAAGTGCTCTTCACCAATGACCTACATCTGGTCTGGTTTTTCCAATTTGCATAATTATTCCACCCAACTTTCCAACATACCTAGACAGCCACTTTGTTTTATTTTTTTTTCCCAACTAAGGCACTAAACAGGTTTTTACTTCTTCACAGGACTTCATAGAGGAGTGTCTCAGGAAATTTCATCAGATTCGCCAAAAAATTATACAATGGATTCATGTGGAGGTTCATAAAACTAGAGTTTTTTAAGTTTTTGTGAGTCTTGAGATGTGCTCCTTATAGTTATCATGCAACATGCAATTTTTGTCCAGGACACCTGTATTCCTTGACTAGCAGACAATCTAAGCTTTTAAATGATGTCACACAACAGGTTTGATGTATTCTGAATAAAAGGTTCTTATGTCCATTTTCCATGGATTTGCCACTGCCATTTTCAGCTGTACCTCTCTTATTTCTTTGAAGGTCCTTGACAAGGGAGGAAGCAATATACTACCCAGATCGAAGAGGCTCAGCCCAACAACCAGGTGAGTAAGCTTTGAAGTCTCATGTGTTGATGTAACAAAGATATCAGGGATGTGTCAATTTAGACTAAGATAAGGCAAAGGAAGGATTCAAGGACATCCTGCTTTTGTGCCCCTATTCAGGAGTGATGATGAATCACTCAAACAGTTCATCAAATATGATGGTGACAAGCAATGGTCCCTCTGTGGGGACACTCCCACCTGGAGCTGGAAGTGGAATTCCTCCTGCACCCCCTCCACCGAATCCTCCTTCCTCTGCCACGTTACCTCCTGGACACCACAGGACATCATCTGCCCCTCCTGCTCCCCACCCACCACAACCACCTCCCTTTTCCAACATGGGAAATGGAAGTGACATTGTTGGCCCTCCTGCACCTCCTCTCCCACCTGTTATGGGAGGTTGTCCACCACCACCTCCACCACCTCCTCCAGGTGATGGCATTGTTGGTGGAAGCAATGGCACTCAAGAAACATCATCATTGGCTGCTGCTCTGCAGAATGCAAAACTTAAGAAGAGACAAGTCCGTTTATCCCTTGGAAATTCATTATCCCATAATATATGATGGTACATGTAGCTCAAATGAAAATGAGTCATTTTTCTCTTCCTCCAGCCCACTGCTGAATCCAGCTTATCACTGAACAGCAGTAACAGTAGTGGTAGTGGAGGGGGAACATATGGGACTTTGGGAAGAGTGGCAGGTGGTGGTATGGCTGAAATGATGGATGAAATGGCTAAAACTCTTGCAAGGCGAAGAGCTGCAGCTGAAAATAAGGATCCCAGTCAGGTGAGTTGACCTTTCGTAGGCACTGATTCATGGTAACACACTGTAAGAAATGACAAGATGTTTTGCATTACAGGAGTATGGAGAGGGATTGCCAAAAGCCAAGAGTGATAAACTTCCTCCACCAACAAATGGAAGGGAGTCTCCAAAAACAAGCAGAAGGAGATTGAGCTCCTCTGAAGATAATATGAGCCCACGTGTGAATGGGGTGGCAACTTCTGATGACTCACATTTTGATCTTGAGGGGCTCAAGCAAGAAATACTCAAGGAAATGAAGAAAGAAATGAATAAAGTCAAATTGGAAATAATAGAAGGTAAGAGACCTCATATTTTCTCTCTCTGAGGGTATCCATGTGTAACTTTCTGGACCCTGGACATCTACATCAACATATAATTGTGAATTCCTGTTTTCATCTTTCAGCAATCAAGGTAGAACTGAATAGAAGATAATCCCTTGGTGTGCAGCATGGCAACCTGCCTCCATTGACCTCATGGACCTCAGACTGCAGGGAAATACTTATATTACTGATTTGGTTTCATGACCTTGAGAATGAAAGCTAAGTTAGCTTTTAATTTGATATTTCCCTGAGAATGTCCAAAAAATCACTGGGTGCTGCTCAGGTGTGCACTCTGTGATCATGAATTCCTTCATTTTCAATAATCAGGTCATCAGTGGAAAATGTTGTAGTGTAGCCTTGATGACAGTGTCCATATGAGCTGCTTCCAGTGTCCTTTGTGTTCCATCTCCTAGATTACCAAGCCTGTGTTTATGTGCTTCAAAGTGGTATCTGCACGGCAAAATTAAATGTTGCTGCTGCTGAAACTTCAGTTTCTCCATTTCCAGAGACCAAGAGGGATTGATTTGTCTTTGGGACCACTTCTTTTAAATCTGCTTCTACCATGTTTAAGTTGCTTTTGTGATATCTTATGGATTTCTTCATTCACCAATGAATCCTTTCTTTCTGTAAGAATGATCTCGGATTCACCTGCTTAGGAAATGTTTTGTTAGTGTAACAGGTAATGTGACTTCTGATGGTGACATGGAAAAGAGCTTCCTGTATGAGTCTTGCTGAGATGGCTGGATTTCTTTTAAATTTGAATTGTACCAACAGAATAGTCTAGGTCTGTAACTGTAGTGAATAAAGCAAAATGTATAGCATGTTTGACCATTTCCAGGAGACCAAAGATCTACATATGATAATCTACATTGTAATTTATTGCCTTGAGCTCATGTTTGCAGCATTGTCTCTGTGCATGGCCTACTGTCTCTGGTGTAACTTCTATTTATTGTTGAGTTGTCTGTAAACTGAGATGGATTGTGTTTGTTGTAATCACATGAAATTTGTGAACACAACCATCTTTTCCTTGTTTCTCGTAAATGTAGGCCACTCACTACGAGTGTACTTTCTGGTCATATTCAGAGTGGGATGCTGGGCAGATTGAATGAATGTGCCAGCCTTTATGACTCAATCACAACCACATGTAGACTGCATTCAGAACGGAATTCAGGGTGTCAGTCATGCAGAATAGAGTCATTTCTTGCAATGGTTGAGAAGCTCCCATATGGTGTCGACCTATGTGGTAGTTGCTTTTCCGTGATCGAGTTGCAAACTGCTTACTGTATCGAGAAACACTTCTCTTCATGCCTTTATTTTCATTGGTAATGCCAAAACATCTAGTCCAAGTATTTTATCATGAACTTTTTTCTTGTACATTGCTACAGATGCATATTAGTTATGCAGTGCTCTACTTGTGTTGAATTGTATTGTGTTTAGGTTCCTGTTCAGGGTAGTTGGCAGGGTGTGTGTTGAAAGGTGCTGACAGGTATTGAGAGTTTCTGTGGGACAGTCACATTGAGAAGATAACTGCAAGCATGAATTTGGCCTAGTGTCCTCTTTTCTGGCTAACTCTGTATTACATGTAGCAGGTTCTACTGTACACATTTACACTGTGGCTAAATACCTAAATCATCCATTCACCTTAATCCCTTGATCTGTAGAGCAACCTTGATTGTAGATGCAGATATCAGGAATGACTTGCTTGTAGTTTTTGCTGTTTGTATCTGCCCCTGTGCTCGCCAAAGTTTGTACTGTAGAATGTCATCTTTCACATGAAGAAGGAAGGGGAAACCTTTTGATATGGAAGAACAGATAAACTTTCAGTGTTGTGCCCATTTTTTCAGTCGATTCCAATATTTGGCTTCTATTCAAACAGTGTCTGAATCTCAAGGAAGTGCTTGGCATATTGCAATGTTCGTGATTGGTCACTTGATGAGTTTTGTCCTTTAAAAAATTTTTTTTCTTCTTTTTTTTTAAAGTTGAAGTGTGTACATAAATCTTGTGATGGATCTATTATTATGTGTGTATATTATTTTACACATGGAATCATTTAATAAAAGGAATGAGCGCTGACAGGGTACATATATTCTTTTCCTCAGTGTTTCCCAGCTGTTGTGGAATTATGTGCTTCTTGTTCAACTTGAAGTCCAACTTTGCAGATTCAGAGACTTCAAAGTGTAGCTTCCCCAGCTTCCCCAGGGTTAGGCATAATAGTCCAGATTGAGTGGTTGACAATATGAAAAGAATGTACAAAATAGAAATTCCATGCAGGTTTTTAACCCTTCAAGCATGACTTTCCTGAAAACCTGCAATGGTTCTGAGCAGCATATGCTGTTGCAAATGCATGGGTTAATATAATTATACTACTCACTATGGAATCACTGTCTTTGGCATTACTTGGATGATGAACTTGAGAAGCATTGCATATGTTAAAAATGTGAATCATTCCAGCCCAATCTGTCCAAAATAACATTAAATGGTGGCCATATTGGATTTTTTGCCGAGATTTTCTCTTGAGATTTTTGCAAAATCTAGTTCTGGTAATGAGAAAATATTTATTCCATCTTCTAAGAGTAAAGACTTGAACGCTGATTCATCTGTATGTTCCAAAGCTCTGATATCAATTTCCTTATTCGAACAGCCATATTATATAATGGCCAAGTGTAGAAGGAACTTTGAATTTTCAAATCTAGTTGAGCACATTAAATGAGTATCTAAACGAACTTTTAGTACTCAAACATTGTAGACCTGAGAAAAAAGACTGAATTTCCTGAATTAAAAAAATTTCAACGACTTCAGCACCCTCTACCTGAGGTCTGCTAAGGAAATGACCGAACATAGGCTATTTCTGGAGAAGCTTATGCTTGAATTCTCCTGTGTGAAAGTTATTGTCCTTCAAGAATGCAGACAGGATATAGAGACTCTTACAATGTTTTGAAAATGACAATTTTGAAAGGTAAATGAATAAAACTTCAGGAAATGACAAGTATCTGAAAAGTACCAAGAAACGTGATTTTTAAAATTACAAATCATGATTTATCAGAAACTTCCCTTTCCAATCAAAGAAATTTAATCGAAATCGGACTTTAACTTTAAAAGTTATAGCTAATCAAAGTTCATGCGTTTTTTTCCATCGATATTAGGCTCCCCCGCCCCTTCAAAAAAAAAAACGCGACAGCTAAAGATTGTAGGGTTCTGAAACTTTGGCTGTGGTTTTTTCACCAACGCCTGAGAGAGAGAGAAAAAATAAATTTACACCCCATTGAGTGAATTTTGATGGAATGACCCATGCGCTTCGTGGATTTTGAAAAGACTGTGCTTTGAGGAAAGCTGGGAGCAGTACTTCGGCGTGTGGGATATACGATCAGCTACTGTGGACCTTTCAGTCCTTAGCGATTGCAATAGTTACGTTCGAGTGTACGGGAAGAGCTCGGTACGCGCTTAGCTTTGACATGGTTGGGTTCTCTCCTGTTCCTCCTGTACATGGGACAGGACCTGTAGGCGCAGCCTATACCTAGAAGAGGTCAATGCGGCAAATCGTGGTGGTCAAATTGAAAAATTCCAAAGAGGTGAAATTCTTTGTGCTTTTCTGGCCACCTCAAACTTCCCTTCCATTGAAATTCGTTCTTGAGGTTGATCTCTCTTTTTTTTTTTTTCTTTTACATATGGTCGAGCTTTTCCCCCCAATTAATGAGTGATGAATCATTATCAGTGCAGAAAGTTTGCTCAAAGTTTATTCAGATTTTTCCGTTGGTTGAAGCCTGGGAATGAAGCAGACGGAATCATCGCTCTGGAGGGGCAAAAATCCCTGTTCGATTTCAACTTCCGATTTATTTAAAAAAAAAAATTGCTCATAGTTTTCAAAGATTTGCATTCATAAAATAAATTTTATATGAAATTCCCACGGTATGTTGGGAACATATCGGTCTATGGACTGAGTAAGTTTCGTGAAATGTACAAAAAAGTTCAACTTTTCCATTTTATTGCATCATCCGCACTGGTAAAGACGTGCTCATGCGATTTGGAGGATTATTAGACCTAACGCACTTAGTTCAAGGAAATACAGCTTCCAATTTCAGCACGCTTTCTTGCGACGTAAGGTTAAAAATCGCAGCTGCGAGCTCATCGTGTTCTTTCGCACGGTAGGACTAACATCCTTCGAGCGGTGGCAGGCTAGTCTGTTAACGGTTCTTGAATTGAAGAAGTTCAATATCACTTTCGGCAATTTATGGGTAATTTCACCTCAAGCTTCATTCATGGTTGTTGCTCTATGTACTTATTAAAAAAAAACAACTCCTTATTGAAAAAAGGAAGAAGTTAATCATGCGTAACATTCTGCCCCTGCCACTCCCCCCCCCCCCCCCCCCATCGGGCGGGAGAGGGGTAGTGACATGGCTGTCTCTCTAGAGAGACTTCAGGAAATAATGGGTCAAAAATGTAAAGCAGAGAGAGCCGTCCCAACGCTTTCATTAGCTAACTTTCATTACACCCCTCCTCCATTGTTTTGGCTGGATTGTGGGCGGACTGTAGGTTTTCTTCGCAATCGCTTAGGATTACATTTCTCAGCAATTTCCAAGCCACATCCTATCCCCTCCAAAGAATTAAAGATATCGGACGTTGGAAAGTACTTCTTTGAGACGAAAGGAGGGAAAGAAATTGCATCTGGATAAGCCAGGAGAGAAATTGCAGCTGTGATGCAGCCAAATATAATTAGTCACGCTGCACTGCAATACAGAATCAATTAATGCATCCCAGCTTCCTCTAATCATATTCATTATTCAAAAGCGTGTCAATCGTATGATAGCCGACGAGGAGCTTCGCGACAGCCATATTTTATGATCCTTGGAAGAAGGAAGTTCAGATTGCAGACCGAGCGAAATATGCATAAGCTTCCGGAATGGAAATGAGGACACGGGCTGAAAGGGGCACACGGCACAGAATTCCCCCTCGACGACCGACACTGCTTCCATTTATCATCAACTGCAATGACACTCACCTGATGGACGCCCATTACCCTTTCGGCCTTTGTCGGTAACCGACTCCACGAGGGTTTGGGACTTATAATTGGCCTTCCATCGAATGGGTTATGTCGCGGTTCGTGTATGAAACATCTGGGGAGGCCAGCTCATCATTTTCGCAATCAATTTATTGGTTATTAATGCCGGTGTGAAGCACAACAGATGTGTTCAGACAAGCCATGTCATTCGATTAATTCTCTGAGTGGCGGATGGCAAGAAAAGGTTCGGAAATCGCTCCATATTGGTACTTCATATTGAATCGAAATCAGTAAATATCAGAGCGGAAATTGCCATTTCCGTTGAACACGAGAGAAAAAGAATAGAAACGCATCCGGTCTGGGGAAAAAAAATTATCGGTCTAACGACTTCCTCCCCGAGCTTCAGAGCTTCAGCAAAGCAGAATCACATTTAGCTCATTTAACAAACATCATTAGTACGTAGAATATATCTAATGACTTTTCCATTGTTGACCGATGCGTCAATATTAACTGGCAGTGCGAATCCG